TCACCATTTTAGGGTTAACTGCAAACCTACCAAAGTCCAATCTACGACTTGGGTGCCGGTGGCTATCTTTACTGCAATGGATGTTTCAATCCTTTCACTCTGTGGACAACCGTTTGGCCTACTACGCAATAAAAGCAAAACAAACGCGTTCAGGGGGATGACATTAACCACTTTTCATGGATTACTGCGTGCCACCACAACCACTTGAGGACAGGGCGCAATAATGAGATTGTTTTACGGCCGACAGTGTCTCGTAAATCCCGGTATCCTGGCACTACAACGCCTACTACTGTTGCCGCAGCTGGGATGCGCGTTAAGAAAGTCGTAATCGTAATTAAACTCCCGGAACAAACCGACATGCCATCGCCAAAAGTATGGAATGTGACGCTTGTGGCGAACCAAACATTTGCTTTTTTTTCAATTGATTGATATTGACATTTCGCGTGAAATTTTTAATTTCGATTCATTGGTTGAATCTGGTCGCGAACAGACCACACCTTCCGGCTTTAATCAATTCCGAGCTTGGAGGTGGATGCCATTATGTGTGTATTGCGGTCGGTGACAAGCCAAAGTGTGGAATATATAATTTGTGTTCTTTCCATATGTTTTCTTCATTAAATGATTAAATTATGCGAAAACATACGTACATATTGATGTAACAATACACCCGACGGTTCGAGGGTAAACAATTGCACCCGAATGCATCCGGAATACTATATAAGGGCAAACATGAAACAATTTCCTGTAGTAGTCATTTTAAATTGGTATAAATTGGTGTTTCATAATTAAACACTTCCGGTGCGAAGCCCTGCGGCGACTTAACACAGATCAAACATTGTCGAGTTGGAGCATTTCTATTAAATGGTTTCTGACAAATTCCTTGCAGCACAATGTTACGTCGTCAGACTGATGGCAGCAATCACTATGTCACTTCAAGGTGTATTGAAGTCCACATATTTAATTATTCCGAAGACCTTCAATTGGGTTCTTTAATTTTGAAAAAGGTATCGTTTTTTATACATCATCTGAAAGAGCTTCGTTTGCTGAGCACAGCGATATTTTTTTTCGAAACCACACACTTTCATCTCGATTTTTAAAGCAGAATAATAACTTCACTGTTTGACACTAAACTGACAAACTGACAGCTCGCCCCATACAAAGTGACACCGAGGGGCGCTAATAAGGTGATTTTTGCAAATGTAATCGTACCTATTTAAAATAGTTCTAGTTTACCAAAATTGATGAAATTTTGGGTTTGGGTTCCATTTTTAATGCAGATTACGAATATGCATTTACCTCAATCACCTTATTAGCGCCCCTCGGTGTCACTTTGTATGGGAGCGAGCTGTCAGTTTGTCAGTTTAGTGTCAAACAGTGAAGTTATTATTTTGCTTTAAATCTTGATTTAAAAATCGAGATGAAAGTGTGTGGGTTCGAAAAAAAATATCGCTGTGCTCAGAAAACGAAGCTCTTTCAGATGATATATAAAAACCGATATATTTCCCAAAATTAAAGAACCCAATTGATGAAATATCGGCATAATTTTTTCGAGTCGAGCGAAATCGCGCATTACAGAAGTCGACTGAATCTGATAGAATCGACAATCGAACTCGGCTGTATTGTTGATTTTTTTTTCAACATGTCGTTGAAATGTTTCTTTTCAGAATTTCCACCGGTTTCACAGATATAAATCTCACCGAAGTTAATGGATAATTGAGATTTTAGACATTTTCGCAGCTTTTAGCTTGTGCTTTTTGGAAAGTCGTGATTCGTTGCTAATTTTTACCATTATTGGAGATTGTGGTGCAATTTATATCGACAATCTTGTAGTGGAAATTGTGGACAAGTCAAGATAGAGCTGGAATTAGGGCGTAACACCTTTTGTAAACAATGACTTCTTTCGATGATGTTTTGACAGTCAAGGCTCGCCCACGCAAATCAACATCACCATCATGTAGGGTAAAACTTCCCCTACCCGACGGTAATATTGGTTTGCGTGGGTGTGCGTTGAATTCCTAGAAATCATCGAGTGAAGTCACTGTTTACAAAAGCTGTAACGCCCTAATTTTAGCTCTATCTAGAAGTGTCGATTTTTTTTCTAGGAAAGCGATCGGGAGGATATGAACAGGAGGAGCTGCATAATATTTCTCTATAGTGTTGACGGCACCGCCAAAAAATCGTCTCTTTTAGCAAAGATTGACAGTTTCTTATGAGAATTTTCCGTGGAGTGAAAGGATATTACCAACCGGTGAACACTCGTGTTTATTTCAGTTATCGTGGGGACGTAATTTGCGATTAGCCCCGGTCCCTTTCAAATTGTACAATTATTTATGTACACTCAAAGATAAATTAAATCATAAAAGCTTAAAAAGTATGCAGTTTCCCGCTTCACCTTATTGAGTCCGAGCCATGATTACTTCGGCAATAGTCATGCATGATTAAAATCGAAATAATCTTTCCAGTATTAAATTTTATTCTTTTTGAATACTGATATATAATCAAAAAATATTAAAATTCAATCAAAATTTATTAAAATAGAATCTAAAATGATTAAAATTTATTCAAAAAAAGATAATCTACAATCTAATCAACCATGATTAACCTGGGATTAATATCAGATGCTTATTTTTTAGAAAGAGAGGATTAATTTTTAATCATTCGATATGATTAAACTGAGTTTAATGTCAAATTGATTAAATTTCAAGCAAAATGGGAATAGTTCAATTTATCAGTGTACGGTCCTTATATTTTAAATGACGTTTCACATTCATCTAGTGATGGTCGATTTTCATTCGAATAATCGATTAATCGATTAACGAATCGAAAAGTAAAATATTTGTAATCGGTTATATCATGCCGATATAAGCATTAACATCTCAAGAGGATCATCACCGATCGTTTCAAACATGTGCTGCACTTTCATTGGTGGAAAAATGGCAGCACAGCGACCACAAAAATAATCGATTAGTTGTTAATCGAGTAATTAAAAAATGGGACATCTCTGATTTTGGTGTGATTGCTTTGATAAAAATGAGCTCAAAATTTCATCTCTACCGAGGGGGCAGCAAAACCACAAAATTACCTTGAATACGAGGGGTATTCAATGGATGAAAGGGACCGTGAAAGAGGACACTAAAATAGAAAGTTTTTCTTCCGACAGTTTCATCTTAGTATTCATCTTTGATATTACCATAGAGGTAACTCTAAGACTAGTAGATCCCGAAGAAAACTGCTCAACTTTTTGACTCAGCTCTGGTACTATCTTCGGTCCCAAGCTAATCGATTCACCCCTCGAAACATAGGAAAATCTACTAACCCCTAATTTATCTGTCAAACTTTCATAGCGAATCAAAACAAACATTGTGTAGTACTAGAATTTCGACTAGACTAATCGTTTGCTTGAGACCAATAGGCTAGTCAAGTAGTGAGCCAATTTAAAATCGTTAGTTTCGTATTGATTGTTGATATTACGAAGTCCGCCATGTTTCACGCACAGTCTGACGTTTGGTTATGGATTTTAACATTGGAGTAAAGAAGTACAGAGTCGCTGTCAACGCCAAATTCGCTCTCGTTGTCAGACAATTAGGGTTGATGCATATATTATGTCACGCTCTAGGGGGGGGGTCTACGATTTTGTGACAAGTAATGCATTAGGTATAGGAAAAACGTCACGACAGGGGCATAATTAATGCATGGGCCCAAAGGATGTCCCACATCAAATTTCATCACGGAAAAAAACGCTGTAGAAAATTACCCAATGGATATTTTCTCTTGAAAATTTGGGTGAAAGTAGTTTAGAGTGTATTGTTTACACTGTATTTTTATCGCTGTCCGTTTGTCTAAAGTTGGAAAAATGGCGTCACCCGAAAGGAACGTCGCGAATTGATTTTGCGCAAGCACCTGGAAAATCCTCATCATCGGGACATCGGAAAACAACTCGGAATCGTGCAGTCAATGGTGAGTCGTGTGATTAAGCGTTACTACGAAACTCTGAGCATCGAACGGAAGGAGAAAAGCGGTCAGAATTGATGTTCTGTTAGTGATCAGGATCACAAGCATGTCGTGAAAACATTTAAGGATGTGGCCAAAAAGTTAAATCTGTCCAAGTCTTTCGTTTAGAGAGCCAAGGACCGGGAGGGACTGCATACGTACAAAGTGCAGAAGGCTCCAAATCGTGACGAACGGCAAAATACGGTGGGAAAGTCACGGGCCCGGAAACTGTACACCCAGATGCTGACGAAGCCTCATTGTCTCATCATGGATGATGAGACTTACGTCAAGGCGGACTTCCGGCAGCCTCCGGGCTACTGTTCTTCACCGCCCAGCACAAGTTTGATGTTCCGGAGGAAGTAAGGAAGCAGAAACTTTCAAAGTTTGCCAAGAAATATATGATTTGGCAAGCGATCTGCTCATGTGGCAAACGGAGTGCGCCGTTCGTGACTACCGGGACTGTAAACGGGGAGATCTACCTCAAGGAGTGTCTCTAGAAGCGTCTGCTTCCTCTGTTGAAGCAACACGAGGGCACTACGATGTTCTGGCTGGATCTAGCTTCGTGCCACTATTCAAATGTTGTCGTGGAGTGGTACGAAGATTGGCCCGCCTTTAGAAAATGAGCACCGATCATGTTAGGCAGTCCAAATGACCGAAGTAACAATCATATACCCATCATTTCAAACTATACATTGGACAATGTTTGACCTATGATTATCTTGTATGTATCACATACAATGATAGAAGAGCAATAGTTTGTATCGCTTAACTCGATTTGTTTACATTTGTTACTTAGGACATTTTGAAAAGTGACGCGAGAATTATGCAAATTGGGGAAGGTCAAGTTTTACACTATTATTTTTGTATCCTTTTTGACCTGGAACAGCTCAATGGCCATAGGGTTAGGACAGGAGATGTGATATGATCGATTTATTAAAACAAACAAAGCAAAGTTTACAACGGATATAAATCATTGATTTATTATCTTACTCCTACGGAGCAACAAAGTTGTACTTAACAGCGAAAGAACACGTTCCTTTAAGATTGTATTTAAAAAAAACCTAAAATTAATTCAAGCCGTCGAACAACTTAAAATGACACAGTGGTTGTTCTTCGAACTTTACGGTTTATCTAGCTTCCTTTGCATACGTCTCCTTAAACTTTACGATTACTAACATTACATCTTTCCTTCCGACTAGAGAAAGTGGCTATACCACACCACTTTCCCACTTCTCTGTTGAAGAAAAAAAAAAACAGAAGAAAGAAAGTGCGAAGCATTGCTTCCGATGAACCACTCCGAACGAGTTGCATATAAATATCACTCGCAACGCGATCGTAGAGCAGCCCGTCATCGTGTGGAATTGATTTAATTTGATTTGATCTAAGTCCTTCAGCTCAGTTTCGTCGAGTTCAATGGCCAGTGCTGGTGGTGATGCTGCCGAGCGATACCGTTCAGGGTCAACTGGAGCCGCTCTTCGGAGGAACCTTTTGCTCTCTTTCCGACCCGAGATGGTCCGTTTCGATTTCCTTGAACTCGATCTGATGGGCTTTCATGGCGTCCTGCAATTATTCAACAAGCACGGAGCATTGCAATTTAATAGCGAACTTCGGATCTACTGGGGTTGGATTTCCAACCCAGTGCGAACAACAATCTGAGGTACTTTTTTAAAAACAAACGATCAATCTGACCATTGTCGGAAAATATGCATCCATTTCTGGCAACATTGCATCGTTTATTGATTATTTCCATCCTCTCACCCCTCATTCACCGAAACACACACACACACACCCAATTGGCATCGGACCATGCGTTGCGATGACATAACAAATTAATCCACTGTCTGTCAAAATTACATGATTCGAAGCAATGGAACAAAACTTAAATTTCACACCAAAAAATTGAATGAGAACTGCACCCGGAACGAATTTCACCGCCAACATCACACCCTCCAGTTACCTTCACACACTGCTGGTACACCCGGAACAGTGGCGCACACACCGAGTCGTCGGCATCCCCCTTTAGAAATCGATCCGAAAACCACTGATTGAAGCAGGTGTCGTATTTTTTCTTCAACTCGGTACAATTATCACCGATACTGTTCATGGTTTGCATCCGCTTGACTCAACTAAATCACCACTAATTTGATACCGTTTTCGAAGTTTTCGGGAACTAGAATACTCCTCCTTTGCGCTGGTGTATTTTGTGTTTTGATTGTATGACAGTGTTGTTGCGCCGCAGCTCGAGAAGAAGACGACGAAGCAGAGGCTGTCAAAACAAGAGGCGGGATTTATCGGGCGGGATTCGGTTTCAGTTTGGCGCTTCTCAGCGTTCTGTTGGTTGGTCGTTCACGTGGATGTTGGTCTGGTGCAATGGCATAATTTAATACCTTGTACAGGCATACAAAGTTCACTGTTGTACTACCGTTGTACCATAGAGGTAACTCTAAGACCACTGGGTCCCGAAGAAAATCATTATTATTTTTGGCTCACTCAGTACCAGAACAACGGTCCCAAGCAGTCCCAAGCTATTTCACTCACCCCTGCATGTTCTGCATGAATCCACACACCCCTGATGTTATCTGTCAAACTTTCATAGCGAATCAAAACAAACATAGTGTAGTAATAGAATTTCAACTAGAATAGGGTACGTTAATCGTTTGCTTGGGACCAATAGGCTACTAAAGTGGTGAGCCAATTTAAAATCGTTAGTTTCGTATTGATTGTTGGTTGTACTGCTTTAAGCTAGTACCACAAATTGTACGTTTTGAGGTACTAGATTAAAGAAGTACAACCAACAATCAATACGAAACTAACGATTTTAAATTGGCTCACCACTTTAGTAGCCTATTGGTCCCAAGCAAACGATTAACGTACCCTGTTCTAGTTGAAATTCTATTACTACACTATGTTTGTTTTGATTCGCTATGAAAGTTTGACAGATAACATCAGGGGTGTGTGGATTCATGCAGAACATGCAGGGGTGAGTGAAATAGCTTGGGACTGCTTGGGACCGTTGTTCTGGTACTGAGTGAGCCAAAAATAATAATGATTTTTTTCGGGACCCAGTGGTCTTAGAGTTGCCTCTATGGTATAACCGGCATCGTGGCTGATGTGCCATTTTTACGACTTCTAAGGCCGACAACATAGTAAAAGCGATTCGATGCGATAGCAATTGACAAAGCGAAATGAAGTGGCAAGCAAAGCAACCTATAGACCTTTTTGACGTTTAATCGTCTTTCTCTATCTAGCACACATGGATGAATGGACGGTTTGTTTTCCCACTAATCTGTTTCCCTCTTGCTCGCACTCGTTCGATTTAAATGGTGCAGTAGTGTGCGCCGATTAAACGTCAAAAAGCTCTATGACATAGTGAAAGCGTTTTTGAAAAAATTACAGTCGCGCGCGCAGTGCAAAATATTTGTTCAAATTTGTTTCAATTAATTTCGTAATGAACAACAAAAGAGATTTTGTAGTTCACTCGATCAATCGAAATAGAAGGCGAGATGTGGATTTCTTCAAATTGTACGAAGATCTTCGTAAATATCCAGAAAAGTTTCGGTCTTACACAAGAATGGATATGGACACATTCGATCTGATTTTGAATCTAGTGACAAACAAGATTATCAGTCCACTTGCGTTCGCAGGCGTCAAAACAACACACAAAACACAATCTTCTACATAACTGTCCTACGAGCATAACAAGAAATTCGTTTATGTTGCCGTGGTAAACCAAAGAGAAAGTCGATCAAGAGAATCGATCATCGAGGATAGGCCCTTTTCAAATGTTACACGTTTGGAGTTTTCTTAGAGTTCTCCTGAAGATCCCATGGTATTATTCTAGAAATTCCAGAAATTTTCGTTTCGAACGCTTCTGAGAATTCTCTAAAAATTTCACCGGAATATCTTTGGAATACTTTCCGAATTTCCTTGAAATATTTCTCGGAACGTTGTGACTCTCATCCTTATTCGAGTTTCTTTAAATTTTCATCGGAATTACCTTGAAATTGTTCTCAGTAATAAACCTTTTGGAATAATTTTCAGAATTTTCATTGATTTAATCTCGGATTTAATTTCAGAATTCCATTTGAAATTCAGTAATTCTGCTCACATTGAAAGTTTCATAAGCATTAATTTGTAGTTCTCCTCACATTTTTTTAGATTTCTCCTCAAAGTATGCTTGGAAAACTCTCCTAGAGTTCTTTTCGAAATTCCTTTCAGCTTCTTCTGGAGTTCCTTTCGGGTTCCCAGGAATTCTGCTCAGAATTATCATGACATAATTATCAGAAGTTTCAGTTACACTTTGAATCCAATTCAGGGTTTTCTTGAAATTCTACTCAACATTATCTCTGGTTTCATATGCCATCTGGGATTTATCAGAACTATCTTAAAAGCAGATGGCTCTTGGTGGTATTGTCAAACTCCCTTGAAATGATGCATTGAAATTACAATCAAATTCCAAGAGCTTTTAAAACAGTGCAGGGCATTTATCTCCAGGTTCTCGAAAATTTTATGAAATATAATAAGAATTTCAAAAACTTCTTCAATGTTAAAATTTGTGGCAAATATTTTCCAGAACCAGACAAAAAACAGCATTTTGTAATGCTGTCTCCGAATTTTTAAAATATTATTTGTTCTGAAATTTAAAAAAAAAATGTTTGTTTTTTTTTCTGAAAAGGCAATCCAGTTTCCTTCAACTTTGTCTCAGACATCAATTTGATTAGATAACCGGCTCTGCTATGATTTAATGAAAAAAAATTCAAGTATGTCATTTTGAAAAATTAGGCGAGAGACAAAATGGCGGACAGTGTTCACTCGGCTGTCGACAAAAGCAGGCCACTCTCGATGTGTGCTACGCGATCGTCTGTTTTCTCGGCAGCAACCATTGTGTGGTCCTCCTCATTGTTCTTCATCAGCAGTTCTTTCGGTCGATGCGTCGTCGACTTTGGAAATCAACCGTTTCGTGATGAGTGTGTGAGTGCTGACCACGTTTTGCGTCCATTGCTGCAATGGACGCGCTCTGACCCTCGTTGGCGTACAACAATTTGCCATACAATGAAACTACTAGAAGCGGCTCCAGTTCTGATCGAGGAGGCTTTTTGGATAGCGGAAGATAAAGTGTTTATTGTATTGTACCTTTTGACTATAGTTTTAAGATGTATTGTATAGTGACCAAGAATCCTCGGCTCTGTAAAGTTAATTCGGTTGAGCCTTATCAAATAAATTAATAAAAAAAAAAAAAAAAAAAAAAACAAAATGGCGGAGCTCCAGCACAAAGTTGGTTCATTGCCCTACACTCAAAAGGAATCATACTAAGAGAGTGAGTCACTTTTACTCATTCGTTAGGAGAAATTTCCAAAGCCGTAGGCTAATCATGTGCTGAGTAGCCAACGCCTTTAAAAATTTCTCAATACGAATGAGTAAAAGTGACTCACTCTCAGAGTTAGTTTCGTTTTCAGTGTAAGCGAAGTTTCATGGAATTCTGATAGGTAAAATCTGAAATTCGTTTAGTTTTTCGCTATTTGGCGTTAATTTGCTGGGATTTCCAAAGGCCACATTTGAAACACAGCATAATTGGAACGTATCGCCTAAACTGAAAAATCTTCCCTATATACCAAACAAAGCTGGGATTAGTTTCCAGCACCCCTAAAATTGCGATATGACGTGAAAGCTCATCCCAACGGATGTTGAATACATCAAAGCAATTACATTGAATTTGACTACAAAGCAAAAGCCAAACCACCTTCCACTGAATCTGGCGGGAAATCTCTACCCACCATCCAATTCATTGGGGGAGACAAAAAAATCCTGTATACCCAGGGCTTGTCGAGTATGTTGCTTGCGTAAGTGTTGTTATCAGGATGCTATGTGGTGTGGAACCAACTCCGCAACGTCCACCGCATTCGATTCGACGTGGGACGAGAGATCATAATCGAGTTGTGCCATGTGCGGTCACACGCAATGATGATGCCAATTTTCGCTGATAATAATACCCTTCCATCGCATCTGGCGAGCCATCCCTTAGCTAAAGCAAAATCAAAATGAAGTGTTTATAAAGCAAATATTTAAAATCAATATTCGATTCGGTGCCGGGGTCGATTATCTGCCATCCGACGTATATCGTTCAATTGCGTGTGCACATGTTCGTCGATGAGTGTTTATTTAGTTTTGATGTTCCATTTTTAGTGCTGAGGGTGGGTGGGAACTGATTGCCGATTTTCCATCATTTACCCCTACTTTTCGCATTTTCTGTTGCATAGATACCGCTCATATTCAGTGAAATCCGGGATGATTGATGATTCACTGTGACCCTTTCCCTGATGGTGGTGGCCGCACTGACTGAAGCTACCAGTTTGCTTGGGAATGCTGCAGTGCCCCAGGCCAAATGTGTGGATGTGCGTTTTCATCGGGGGAGTTCACTAATTCGATGTAGTGGGATTTGTTTTGAACAGAGTGTTTATTGTATCGTTTAAGGTGCAAGGGTAAATTCATTTACTGTGGTTTGAGTAGTGGAGGACAGTGAATGAATTTTCATGACCAGGAATTTTTCAGCGGTGGTCAGCATCTTAAGTAGCATGTACTTTTCATTTTCACCATCATTGTCAAATTTTTGACGTGGAGCTACGTATTTCCGCCATGGTAAAGCTGGGGGCCACATTACGAAATCGAAAATAAGGTATGTAACGAAAATGTGGAAGTGTTCAGACGCATATTACTCAAACTCATTAATGGGAAAAATGTCATACATAGCACAAATAGCGAATTATAACTAATCAGAAGAGCGGACGGATGGGAAAAATCTATATTCCCTCGAACGGACATCACTTTCCTGCCTATGCGTAAATTTGCCTATCACAGCTCTGTGATAATGCCATAATAGAGGAAGAGGAACAGCAGCGGAAATGTTCCTCCACAATGGAGGAAGTCGGAGCTAGGTGATTACACTTTACAGAGGAAAAGGAAGAGTAACGAAAATCTTCATCCATATACCTACCACGTCCGCCAAATCGCTTCCAACGTCATGTTAAGCCAGACAGTCGTGCTGGCCGAAGAAGCTACGAGGCATTACTATAATTTGAGAAAGAAGTCTGGGAAAAAAGGTCCGTACCAGAGATGCCAACATAATTTAAAAAATATCCGGAAATGTATCCTTCACTGTGCTATCTGGAGGTTCGGATTTTGACCCCTCCCTTTCCTT